CTAATTTAATTCTACTTAAACACACATATCCCAGGGAATGCCACGTGCTTTTCAGCAGGATTTTATGTGTAAATCAGGATAACACGTTTTCAGAGCATTAGCTAAAGGGAAGCACGAACTAAAACCTATTTAACCAATGAGGTATTGCTTTTAAACTACCACAAGGTGATAAAAAAGATAATTTCAAAGCTATAAGTTTTCTAATTGTGATAAACATGGATGTCATAAATCTGTGCACAGCCTTGCTTATCTTTAAAGATCCTTTACTTTGTCATTTGGTAACATTTTCACTACCAGATTTTGCTGTGCAAAATTAAAATGTGGCACTGCAATTAGAAATAACATTGTCTTACTGCTCAGTCTTAAATGAGCAGTGAAACTCAGATGCAGTTTTACTATTATATAACAAAGTATATTTGTTAATATTAGGTGCAACTGGACAATAAAATTGGAAAAGTCTAAAATGTGCTGGAAATTGACCTTTTCCTTATTTCTCAGTCATCTGTCACACAAACTCTGTATTGGATTTATTCACTTTCCTGAAGTCTTTCTGCTGGTTTGGACCCAAACCTAATCCATCTGTTTGCAAGCAAACTGTTTCAGTTTAACTGTATCTTTGAGCTCTAAGGTTTGTGGGATTTCTCTTTTCTTTGTTTTTGTTTTCCTTTTCCTTAAAATGGCATGTAAGTCACTCTACACTATTCTTACTTAACAGCTACACCTACACATCTCTCAAGATCAAGAGTTGTTGGGCTCTCACATTAGAATTCAAAACTGCCTTAAATTAATTGTTTCCATTGGCATTTATGCAACCAAAGCTGATTCTCCAGAATGGCCATGAAAAGGGAATGCAAAAGGGACACACCTACACCAGCTAGAAATGGAAAAGCTTTCTTGACATAAAAAAATAGAACCAACAACCAACCAAACCAAAACCACAGAACAAAACACTCACAGTGTTCAGGGTGTATTTGCTCAATTCTCTCATTTCCAGTTGTTATGAAGAGAACAGCCAGAGGGGTTTAGAGCCTCAGTCACTGTAAATCAGCACATTGGAACTGACTTTCTTACAACTAAAGAACTTGGTGGATTCTGGCTCAATGTATTGGCCATAGTTTATATTACTGTTATTAAACAAATTCTCTAAGTCTATCCAGTGAGTGCTCCTTGTCAGCACTTCCAACTTCTATTCTAAAACAGGTTCCAAAATGCAGATGAGTCTCTCTCTATTCTTGGACAAGATTACCTGTCCCTGATAGAATACACCACCATTCACAGAAAAATAATTAAGTATATAATACACCTCTCACCTTCACAATATGATACCTACACAACTGTTTTCATTCTCTAGTTCTTAAAGTTAACCATGTGACAAATTAGAAGCCAAAAAGAACAATTTTGTTAGGAAGAACTACTAATCCAAACATATTCTTCTGAACTTCCAGTCCTCAGTTGAGATAATAAATCACATTTTGTTCAACAGAGTGTTTGTGGAATTGTTCCATGCACAGAAAAAGCACTTTTTTCCTACTCACCTCATGGAGGCCTGACAATTGTTACAGCATCACTTATCAAGCTGCCCTGGCTGTTGGATGCATTCACTTCCACTGTGGAGTTAGAAAATGGAATCAGGCCTTTAATGGTACCCACACATTGAATTTCCTGCTGCTGCAGAACATCTGAGTGTCATTTACCACAAAATAATGAGTGTTATCTGCTGGGGAAAAAAACAAGAAAGCGGGGAGAACAAATGTTAGACCTTGTGTCTGCTACAATTTACTGCCTTTAGGAACTAAGTCTTCAAAAGAAGACTTGCTATTTATACCAATAACACACATACACACATGAAACTTTGGTTATTGGGGAGAAAAAATATTATTCATCATTTCTCCTGCTTTTGGCAACAGTTTATGGTACCTGTAAATCTTGGAAAATAAACAAACCAATCCATGAAGCAACCATGCATTGCAGAGCTGACTGCTCTGTACTGCAAACAGGAGCCAGCTCTCAGAAATTACTGATCTTCTAGAAAAGTTGTGGGATAACTGCAAATTCCAGACATTAGTGTTAATTCTTGTTCCTATGATACACTGGTAAAAATTTCTGAATTCACCAGAAAAGTGCTCCCCTTAGGAGTTTATAAGCTAACTCATTGCATACAGCAGAAAAGGTCACCTGCAGTAACACCTGCTTTCCAGCATGGCCTGCAGTCCCCTCACAGATAAAAGGATTTCAAGCATTCAGTTTATCAGCTGAAATCATCCTACATATCCTTTGCAAACCTTTTAAGATCTCAAACTTAAGATAAGACAATATTCTGCCCTACAAAAATAAAGAAACCCTTTCCAAAATACCCGGTAAGACTAGAAAATAAAATAAAATTGTATGTCAGGTAACAATTTTTTTCAAATCAATGAAGAGTTAACTCACATATCTGAGAGCAAAGCTGAGCTCATTTAAAGATTATTCTGTATTTTGAACATAGAAAGCACTCTATAAATGATTAATATTATTACTACTGTTCATCATTCCATGGAGAGCTCTCACAGTGAAGTCAAAGGAAATTCTCTGTTACAAACAACAGCAGAGTCACACAAGTCTAAGATCACAGGTATGAGAATGAGATTAAACAGTGTATAACTTAAAAATATTGTAAGTGAAGTCAGGTATTATCACAGGCAACAGATTGAATATTCCCATCTGAGTCCTCTACAAAACCTAGATAAGACAGAATTACAAAAACCCTAGAAAAGCAACATTTTAATTATTTTTTTAAGGGAAGCTCCTTGGATTTACACATTTTTTTTCAAGTTTTAAATGAGCTGTTAGAACTGAAATGTTATTAAATCTGAAAACCATTTTCCAATCTCCCCTATTTCCATGATGTGCTCTAACACGTGTGTGTGCAGCACATTTCAGTCCTGCTCACAGGACATTTTACCACAGATGAGGGATCTGGATTTTCTTCTAATTTGAGGATTCCTATAAACAATCTCTGATTTACTTACAGTACAAGTCCACGCAATTCCATGATTTTGGTGTTCACAGAGTGGCACAAAGGGTGTTTTCAGTGATTCTTCTGGTAACAGATGACAAACTTATTTTCTGAGGTTTTTTGAGGGGGGGCAGTTTTGTAAAACTCTTTGTAAACCTGCCTTGTAGCCCAGTCTCTTATTGCTCAAATTCTCCCTGGATGACACCGTGCCACAGCACCAGAGCACCCGGACAGACTCCAGCAGGGTGAAGGTGGAATGGTTTCATGGAGCCTGATGGACTCAGTTGGGATTTCACTGAAGTTTACACAAGCCCCAGACCCCGTTTTAGATACAGCAATGAAGGCAAAACTTCTTATCCTGCCAGAAGAACCACCACGTTTCACACATTCCACACACAGAATCCTGCAGGAGCAAAGTTATTTTGTCTGACATTACTCTGATGGACCCAGGCTGCTCAACCAGCACCACAAAAATGCATCCACATTCCTTGAACTCAGCTCTTCAATTGTACATCAAACCCTCCTTCTGCACCTTTGTGAAACTGTCCCTGGCTGTGATTTGGGAGCAGATACAACCCAGCATACCTAGGTAGCCTCATCTCCTCGGATGGTAAGATTAATGGGGAGATAGACAACAGGTTAGCAAAGGCATATAGTGCTTTTGGAAAGCTTCATAAAAGAGTTTGGCGAAATAAACACCTGAAGAAAAGTACAGAGATCAGTGTTTACAGAGCCACAGTGCTGTCTACTCTATTATACGGATCTGAATCATGAGTCATCTACCGCCACCACCTGCATCTCCTAGAACACTTCCATCAACACTGCCTCTGAACAATCCTAAACATCCACTGGTCAGATTATGTGACCAACACATCTGTTCTTCAACAAGCAGCAGTCACAAGTATTGAGGCCATGTTGCTGAGAACACAGCTGGGCTGGGCAGGGCACATCTCCAGGATGAAGGACCAACCACCCCCTCCCTAAGATCCTGCTCTATGGTGAACTTGCCACCAGCTGTTGCAAGAGAGGAACCCCAAAGAGAAGATACAAGGACTCCCTGAAACAACATCTCAGCCTTGGCCATATTGATCACCATAACTGGTCTACTCTGACCTCCAGTCGGGAGGTCTGGAGACACACCATCTATAACGCTGCTGATGCTTTTGAGAACGCAGCAGGATCACACTTGAGGAGAAAAGACAATGCAGAAAGAATCGTGCCTTGCAGAATATACCACCTAAGGAGTCTTTCTGCTGTGCCTTTTGCAACAGAACATGTCTATCTCATACTGGCCTTTTCAGCCACCAACGCTCTTGCAACAAACGTGGGTAGTGCCCTCCCCAAATCTTCGTTTGCGAAGCCCAGCCATGATGAGTATTCTTACTGGATATAACTGTGCTATATGTACATCTATATTTTTGCTCTAGCTCTGCTATTTGTTTTTTTTTTTCTCTCTGGGAAGTAAGCTTTTTTGCTGGGTCTCAGGGACTTGGCAGGAAGCCAGGTCCAAACCAACACATGGCTGCAGCACAGGGCTTGCTGCCGTGCCACCTCCTGGGGTGCTGGGCCTGGGAGGACACAGGGGTCACAGAGTGGGGCACCGTGTGGGGACACAGGAATAACTGTGGCTGCCCAGGCTGGTGAAGAGAAGGTTTTGGGGTGACCTTTCAGCCCCTTCCAGTGCCTAAAAGAGGCTCCAAGGGAGCTGAAGAGGGATTTTGGACGAGGGCCTGGAGTGACAGGACAAGGGAGAATAGCTTCACACCGGCAGAGGGTAGGGTGACATTGGCAGTGGCCCTGAAATGGGGTGAGAAGGCTCGGGCAGCAGCTTGTCCTTTAGCCAAGGCAGCTTCTCCCAGGGAAAGCCCCAGCCAGGGCTCAGCTTGTCCCACAAGCCTGGGGCCAGGGGTGCTGAGGGGGGAGCGTCCCGCTGCCTGCGGGACAGCCCAGGAAGGACACGGTCGGCTCGGCACACTCAGCACCATGGACTGAAGGACACCAGGGCTTTGGGCACGTTGTTGCAGCTTTATTCAGCCCCAGTCCTTTAGCCAAGGCAAGCTGCACCTCTGCCGGGCTCACGGCCAGCAGCAGCGCAGTGCTCGCAGGAGGCCTCTTGGTCTTTGCTGCACGCAAGGACTCCTCAGAATGGAGGTTGTCCGAGCTGCCAGGGAGCTGACAGAGATGTCCCAGTCATTCTCCAAGGGCTGAAGTGCTGTGAGGGAAAGAAACAGAGCCCAGATAAAACCCCCCATCTGCAGAGAGCCTCTGGATTCCCGACAGACCACGCTCCCCACTCACCACTCAGGATGTCAGCCTGACTGTCTGTGGTCTGCTCCCTCAGGCGCCGTGTGATGAGTCCTGGGCACAGAGCTCCATTAGCCCCTGCTCCCCAGCCTGCTCCCAGCAGCAGGGCCCCCAGTCCTCCCCTCCTCCCCCTCAGCAGGGCTGAACCCAGGAGCCCCCAGAAGCTCAGGGCAGTGGGACTGAGCAAGGCGGCCACCAAGCCCCACTGCGTGGGCAGGGCTGGCAGAGGGAGGCAAGGCCCTGCCCGGGGTGGTCGGGGCTGGGGCAGCCCCAGGACTGCCCCTCGTTGCTGGGGCAGCAGTGGCACAGGGGCCAGGCTGCCCCAGAGGCACTGCAGGGGCTGGCACTCACCGATGAACCTGACGGCCGCCAGGCGCACGTTGGCCTGAGGGTCCTGCAGGTAGGGCAGGCTCTGGTGGATGAAGTCTTCAGCCCTGCTCCTGTTCTTCTGCAGCTGCAGAGAGAACAAGGCATGTCTCTCCAGGGCTGTCACTGGGGCAGTTGGCTGGAGCAGTGCCTCCTGCCAGCACCTCCTGGGACGGAGAGGCCTCCCCTCCTGCTGGCTACAGGGAGGGGACAGGGGCCTGCAGAAGAGCCCCTGGGGCTCTGTTCTTGAGGGCAGCAACAGGGATGCAGCTCCAGGCTCTGCCCAGCTGCAGAGCCCCCAGCCCAGACCTGGGATGGGAGCAGCCCTCCCCCAGTCCGGGCTCCACAGCTTGTCCTTACCAAGCACGCTCCAAGCTCCCACAGCCGCTCTCTCTGCAGCAGGTGCTTGAGCGTCTTCCACCTCAGCAGCTCTGCGGCAGCAAGAAGGGCTTCCCTGGAGGCCTGCAGGACAGCATGAGCTGAGAGATGGCCCGGGGGCCTGGGCAAGGAGACATTCCTGGGGGATCCTGCCTTTAGGAAGCTGGGACATGCCCTAGCCCAAATGTCTGGGAGCCTTTTGGGGACAGCCCTGGGGGACAGGCATGGAGGCTCAAAGGCCTGGCCTTTGACACAGCCTGTGGGGATGCCCCTGCTCAGGCCGTGGTGGTCACAGGCTGCTGCCAAGCCCTGCAGGAGCAGGCAGGGCAGGTGTTGCACAGGGCCGTGCCAGCTTCTCTGCCCCTGCTGGCGCTGGCTCCGCACGGACCTTCCCACGGGCTGTGCTGGGGGAGCGCTGCCTGCTGTCAGCAGGCCCTGCCCCGATGCCCAGGAGCCCTGGGGGTGTCAGCTCAGCCCTCTGTGTGTCAGGGCTCAGCCTTCAAACCTGTACCTTGGCCACGCTGGGGACCTGGTCGCTCATGCGGAAGAGGAGAGGCACCAGTGCCCGCCACACCTCCTTCCTCATCCTCTTCTCATCCCTGCCGACTACCAACTGCAGCAGCTCTGCGAGCATGCGGATTGACAGCTCTCGCAGCTCGCTGCACTCCTGGCAGGAAGCAGGAAAAGGGAGCTTTGCAAACAGCAGCTCCCTGCCCACAGTGCAGAGGGCCGTGATCATGGCTGCAGGGAGGGCAGTGGCTCCAGCCTCACATCCCAGAAGAAGCAGCACTGGGCTGCA